CACGCCCCAAGCAAAGTCCATTAGCTGCAGAGTTCAATTAAAAAATACCCAGCCCCGCCCCTCCTTCCTAGGCTTGCGTACGTCGCAGCTGTGCACGTTGATTGCCCCCTTCTGGCCAATCACCACTGCACTTCCTCCTGGGCTATACTTTTCAAAATCCCCTAGTGGGACTATTGGAGGAAGCACCAACTAGGTTGAGACGGACTCGATCGCCGCCGCGACAAAGCTCCGTTCATTTCCCTGGCCTCTCCTGATCTAGGGGTGCGTCCATGGTCTTTCCTGTGTGTACTATCTCCGTGCGAGGTAGGGGCCTTTGGGCTTGTACTGCCGGCTCGAGGGTCTGGCTCTGTCGCCTGCCGGTCGGTCCTTGGGCGTCATTCCAGCCCGTTACACTCTCTTGCCGGGATACACGGTGTCCCTGCGACGAAACCTTTGTCTCATTTTTTCTCCTGTCAGCAGTGGGTGGAGGGAGCCCTGTACGAGATCGGGTAAGGGATGTGTATTAGGGGGTGAGTGAGCAAAGCAAAGGAGACTGGGTTCCAGCTTTTAGATGGAGCAACCTGTGTATGTACCTGTACTTTTACAAAACGCCTTTTCACGAGTGAAAGATCGATTTCATCTACAAGTGCTGAGGGACCAGACGTATTTAGGACAGAGAATGCTACTTATAGGGTATCTTTTAAGCTACAGGTTGGAGGATATGAAGGGAGGATGGAAACGCGTCTTCGCTCCCTTGTTATCTTTTTGCAACACGCTTCATCACTCGCTTTCCCACCATCCTCCGCTATGGTCCGCTTAGAATCCTGGAAGGTCAGAAGTCGAAGGGACCCTAGAATAGTGCCTCTTAAACTTTAAAGTACATACAAATCACCTGGTGATACTGTTAATTTGCAGATTCTGATTTGGTAGGCCTGGCTTGAGGCCTGAGATTTTGAACTGCCAACAAGCTCCCAGGTGGTGCTAATATTGCTTGTCCATTGACCACACTTTGAATAGCAAGGAGGCTCTTGTCCCATTGCCTCATTTTAAGTGGGAAAAATGAGACCCAGAGAGGGAAAGGGACTTACCCAGTGTCACCCGGCCAACTGGGGGGAGGGCCAGAACTAGTCCCTAGGCATCTTTCCCAGCCCACTGCTGCTTTATTGACACCACGCTGCATTCTCTCCCCAGTGCCTAGCTGTCTGTAACCTGCCTTTATATATAAAATGAATTTTCCACTTCTTCCTGTAGACTGTCCTGATTAGCTTAGCTCTGCTGCCTCTGTATGGGTTTCAGCACCAGCCCTCGGAGACTGTCGGGCTGGGTCACAGACTGTAGTGGATTGAATTATGTCCCCCCAAAGCTCCTTGAAGCTTGAACTGTGTCCAAGTTTTATGTATTAGAAACTTAGACCCCACTGTGACTGTTAAGAGGGTGGGAAATCCTATTATGGTAATTGAAAGGTGGAGCCTTGAAGAGGTAATTGGGTTGTAGGACCCTGCAGTAGTGAATGGATTAAAAATGGTGGTTAGGGGTGTGGTTCTGAGGGCTTTAAGAGAGTCTTTCTCTGCTCCCACCATCTTGAATGTGAGACCCCTGAGTCACTGTCACCACTAATAGATGGACTCTGGACCCCCCCAGCCTCCAACTGTAAACAATAAATTTCATTTGTCTTTATAAATCACCCAGTTTCAGGTACTTTGTTATAAGCAATGGAAATGGACTAATACACAGACCCTTCAAACCTGTTGTGCAGACTGGGTCACAGACCCCTCATATGCAGGTCACGAGCTTGGTAATTGGAAAAGATCCTGGGAGCTGGTGGCATGGTTGACATGCTTTATTCAGATGCAAGCTCAGTCCCCAGCTTCCTCAGCAGCAGCCCTAATGACCTCCTGGGGGGGAGAATGGACATCCTAGGAGTACTGTCGATCAGAGCCGTTCATCCTTTATACTTAAGTCAGATAACCAAGGAACACCTGGGTACACATGCGCAGTTACATCAGACAATAGCCCAGGAACACCTGGGTGCAGTTAACATATGTACGCCAAACAGGCTAGGTCATGCTCGGCAAGATTCTGAACATCTGAGGGAGCCTGATCATTTGTCCATTTTCTTTACAGATACCCAATGGGGTCTGTAACACTGTTTAGTGCTTATGTATGGGAGATGGAAAGTCTGAAAAGGGGAAAGGATTCTAATTTTCTTGTCCAAGTAAGGCACAGGGTTCTGTAGGTGGTAGGAGGGGAGAGTGTTTTGCAGAGTGTCCTTTTATGAAAAGATGTTTTTGAGGGTGTCAGTCTCCCTATCCCAGGGGCAGAAAAACTAGTTTACCTAAGTGTGTGTTCTCCAAAGCAAGTGATCAGTGTTAGGATAATCAATTTGATATATGACCATCATCTGAATAACCTTATTTTCTCCGAGGTTTAGTTAACCTGTAATGTCATCAGCCAAGAGTTTTCTAGACTGTTGACTCCAGATTTCTTCTTTGCCTTTGAAAGGTAAAGGTTTCAGAGCATAAGTCTTTGGTCATTCATAAATTTTATGGGGCATGAATAATGAAAGTGGAGTAAGTGGTTTTCCTACAGTGCAGTTAAGGGTGGGTATATCCAATTTAAGTTTATTGCTGCTTGGCTGAGTTTTGAGGGATGAGGTGGAAAATAGGTTTGAATTTGAGGGTTGAGAAGGAGAGGAAGATGCAACATTTGAGTGCCTACCATGTATCAGGCTTTGTAATACAAATTTACATTTGAGCCAAAGAACTCCTCCACAAGTAAGCTGTGTTATAGCTGTTTCGCAAATGAGGAAATTGAGGCTCAGACATGCTAAGTTGGATGGTTTAGAAGCCCAATTGCTAAGACTCCAAAGCCTATGCTTATTCTACCTCCTCAAACTACAGTCTTTCACTTTTTTGAAATGTTTTTCAGTATGACCAGAACGACTCTGGTATTTTAGAGAGAGCTGGGAGTTCTGTGCCACCTAATAGTTTGTCCTGGGTAGTAACTTATCTGGGACCATAATATATAATTATGATTTTTCTAAGGTGTAATGTTATCTGAGTTACAAAAATAAATGTTTTTGTTTAGGATATGCATGCTGAAGTCTGTAAACTACTTTCACATGATAGTGTGAAAAAATGTGCACATGTGCATATATATCTCTATATAGAAATAGCATCTATGTAATAAAATATTAATACTTTTTAATATGAGAAAAAATGGGGAGAATTGTATTTGCCCTCCTTACCCTCAGTTTTGTTGTGAAGATCAGCTGAGGTAATAAATGTGAAGGCACATACTTGTACTGGATTTTCTTCATCCACAAAATGTCTATACTTCTCCATCCAAAGCAAAATCCAAATCAGCTTTGGCTTTTTTTTTTTTTTTTTTCCTGGAAAGCTCCTTAGTCTACTTGAGAAACTGGTTGTCATTTACGTCCAGATCAAATGTTACCTCCTCCATCAAACCTTTCTCCACTCCATTCTGACAAGATTACTGACTTTCCATTATGTTTCTATAGTACTGTCTTAATTCAGGCTGGTGTAACAAAGTGCCACAGACTGAATGGCTTAAACAACAAACATTTATGTCTCATAGTTCTGGAGGCTGGGGAGTCCAAGATCTAGGCACAGGCAGATTTGGTGTCTGGTGAGGACCCGCTTCCTGGTTCATAGATTGCTGTCATCTTGTTATATCCTCACATGGTGGAAAGGGTAAAGAGAGCTCCCTGTGGTCTCTTTTATAAGGGTGCTAATCTTGTTCATAAAGCATTTCATTCTCAGGCCTAATCAGCTCCTAAAGGCCCATCTTCTAATACCATCACATTGGGGGTTAGAATGTCAACATATAACTTTTAGTGGGATACATTCAGTCCATAGCAAGTACTTCGTATCTACCTTTATTAAATAATTTGTCACATTTTTATGTTAACATAAGAGCTGTGCATGTGAATACTTCAAGAATAGGATCTGTGATTTGTGTTTGTGTCTCCATTGCCTGAAGTATCTGGTATATGGTGGTAAGTTTGTTGCATCCCCCATTAAGGTCTCTCCTAGGGAAGCCTGTTCTTTGTTAAAAGCAGCTGAACTTGGAAATTAATTGTGGAAGGGGTTGGAAGGGCAGTTATATCTGAGGGGAAAGAGTCTCTCGTGTATCCAGACAATTATTCCTCCTAATAATGTATTTGTAAGACACATTCATGTATACTAATTATTGAGGACTCACCAACTAAAAGAACCTTAAAGAATATAACATGGAGTCCCACACTGAGATGGGGCAAAGATAGGACTCTCTCAAGGGTGGTTATGACTATTAAATTCTTAATGTCAAGTGATTTGCAGTACATTAGTTCCTTCTGCTGTTATCTCATTTTTTGAACTTTTTTTTTTCCCTACCAGGTGTCTGGAACTGGATTACAGTTTCTTCTGATTGAATGCAGCTTTTGAATATTGTCTGGACTATTATGCATACATGTGTGTGCAGTCATTCTCTGTAGGGTCATTATAATTGCTGTGACCAGGACCCCTTGCCTTTTAAAAAATATTAATTCTGCCAGATAGCCCCTATACTATACAAGCCGTCATGCTCTTGATTGTTTTTAGTACAAAACTCTCATGTAATTTGTTCTCAACATTGCTAAACCTAAACTAGGGGCTAGGCCATAGTCCCAATGCCCACAGAGGATGACAGGCACTGTGCTAGGCTTTTTACGTAGAGTATCTCATTTAATTTGAACAACACCCTGAAGAGGTAGGTATACTTACCTCGATCTTACGGATGAAGTAACTGAAGCCCAGGGAATTTGTCACTTGCCCAAGGTTAATTGTGATAGAACCAAGATTTGAACCCATATCTGCCCAACTTCAAAGTCTGTTTTCTCACTGTTAGGGATGCTATAGAAAGACTGGGTTTTCTTAAGAGTTTCCAGAGAATTCTGTGATATTTCTGAAGATTGGTGTTTTAAAGATTCCCTTTGTTATTGCAGCTCTACCTTGAACAAGACACTGCTGAATCTGTAAGAGATGCCACCACCACTACCACCCCAAAGCTCCAAACCTCAGACTAAGAAATCTCAGTCCAGCAAAATTGTGCCCAGTGACCATGACCAATCTGAAAAGGTTAGAGCAAGCTGTCTTTCCCAACAGTGTCTTGTGTAGTCTCTTCCTGTGGGTCAGTACCTATCCTCACTCCTGAATCTTTCAGAATATGTCTGGTTTAATCTGAGGAGGTGGGGAGGAGAGGCAGTCCTTGAAATTGGAGAATACCAGCAAGTTAGAACTTCAGGAGAAAGTGTGATATGATGGCTCAGATGAAGTCCACCCTCCACAATGTTCAGAACCAAACAACACTCATCCCTCTAAATGATCACATGTATACTCTTACTTTCTCTGAGAAGCTCCAAGCACGTTGCTGGGAAACTGTTTAGTACATGCTGGGTAGAGTATGAAGAATGTGTCAGCAAATGTATTATCACACTTTTTACAGCTATTAAATTTGAAGAATGGGCACATTTTGACTCTGCTTTTTGACCTTATAGATAGTTTGACATTTCCTTTTTGACCCTGGATATTGTATGTTCATCATCATACATATTTTAACCAGAAGTATACTAACATTGATGAATTGCCATCAGAGAGTATTTCCTGGAGCAAACATCATTAGGTCAGTTTAATTTACATTAGTTTTCTCTCAGCAAAGATAAACAGTTTCTAATCATATTCATTTTTGTTTTACTAAAATGATTTTCATGGAGGGGCCAAGTTTTTTCTCATGTAAATTTATCGAGAAAGATTTGATACATTGATATGGTTTTTGTCCATATCAAGTTTTCTGATTAGAGTTCTGCCATCCTAAGTTTTGTTTTGTGACAGTTATTTTTCCAAACCCAACTTTCTTAGAGCACATTTTGCAAATCTAAGTTTTCTTGAGTTCATTTTCAGCTGTTAACTTTATTTTGGGCTGATTATTTCTACCAGTAACATTAAGTAGGAAATAGACAACAGACTGATGTTTATTTCTTAGCTAACTTGTGAGAAAATATTTTTTTTTCTAATTATTCCTACTAGAATTATTTATCATGGGCTAGATAAAAGACTAATAATTATTGCTTAGCTTAATCAATTATAAAACAGAAGTAATTCTTCTCAACTCTTCCAGGATTGCTCTATTGTGCTGGATTGGTTTACTGTATCATGAACCCACTTCTCTAGATTTTTGATTGCTCATTGTATCATGTACTAAATGTTAATTGTGGAGCTGGAGAAGAGAGCAAATGGTCTGATCCCAGTGCCCTGCTTCACATTATAACAACTCTCTGACATAGGTAGGGCAAGATTTGTTCTCAGAATTTCATATGGGAAATCTGAAACTCAGGAGATTCACCAAATAAAAGCTGTTCAGGGGTAGAAGAGCCCTACAGTGTGATCTGCCCTGACCTCTAACCCCATAGAGATGATCTTACTTGTTTGGGAGTGGGGTAAGGCATGCAGAGATACAAAATATTCACCTCTCCTCCCTTCCCCCATCCCTCCTTTATATACAGTAACAATTAGAGATTAATCTGTATTACCAAACTCCTTTCCTAAAATACAGATATTTCCCTGTGAGGTTTACAATCATATTACACTATATGCTTTTAGATATTAGTTATGTCTATTAAAAGTTTATACAGACTTTTAAAAAACATGTATACTCTCATTTGGTCCTCAGGCACTCTGTAAGGTAGGTTATCATTCCAATTTTACTGATAAGAAAATTGTGGTTCAGAGATTAAGTGACTTGTCCAAGGCCAACAGCTAGTAAAGAGCTGATCCTGAACCAGTATCTAGTTATGTGCACTATTGTCCTTAATGGAAATGTCTTTAAAAAGCTACTTAACAAAAGAAATACCTTAATATTAAATTATTGAATTGATTTACCTGAAAGCATCCATATTCAGAGTATAACTAGGAGTGGTGGGGGTGGTGGTGGCTCAACTTGAGTAAGGATAACTATAGTTATGAGAGAAGTAAGAGGAAAACTTAGCTTCATTAAGCTATTTTCCTTTTTGCTTCCTCGCAGCCTTGTCCCCATCATCAGTGAATAATACCTTTGGGGACTGTATAAGCAGCTTTGAGTGCCTTTTGTAGTTTTGGGGGGTTTATTATATGTATCTCCAGTTACTTTGAGATTCTGGAGTTTTCCTTGAACCCTGAAAATAACCGAAAGTCCCTGAAGAGACTGTTTATAATTAGATATACTCATTTACCTCTTTTACTTTTTTAGAGGAGAGAGAATTACCAGGCAAAGCTATCTCCATCTTCACCTAAGGGAGGACTCAAAAAAAGATCAGCTTTTGAAGATCTCACCAATGTGAGTATGCTAGTCTAGTTCTCTGCTATGGTTTTGCATAAGGCTTAGACAACCTTTTCCTTGAAGGACCTTTGCAGTTACCAGATCCTGACTCTCTCTGGAATGTTGAGAGCAGATTTTTTTTTTTTTTTTTTTTTTTTTGTCAATCAATGGCCCAATTTCAGAAACTGCAGGGGCTCTTTTACTGGCACATACCATCTAGGTCAATTAGTGGAGTTTTCTGGAAGCAGCAGAGTGATTATCAGATATAAAATTGTAGATAACTATGAGAACTATGGGTTATTGCATTTAGATAAAGACCAGAGGTGGCTTAGCTGGCTGTCTAGGCCTTGGAGGTAAGTACTTTGGTAGAATCATTGTAGTTCAGGGCAGTGTTTATCAATTCGAGCACTCTGGGCATTTGTGGCAGGATAATTTTTTCTGTTGTGTAGGGCTGACCTCAACCAGCATCTTTGACCCCTAGGTACTAAATTCTAGCAGCAGCCCAGTCATAGTGACAATCAAAAATGCCACCTTAGGCCGGCCCGGTGGTGCACTGCTACAGTGCGCCGCTTGGGAGCGCAACGGCGCTCCCCCCAAGGGTTCGGATCCCACGTACAGACCGGCCGCTCACTGGCTGAGCGAGGTGCGGGCGCAACACCGAGGGTTGCGATCCTGTTGCCGGTCCCGGTCCGGTATGGGCGCGACACTGAGGGTTGCGATCCCGTTGCCAGTCCCCGGTCCAGTACGGGGGCAACACTGAGGGTTGCGATCTGTTGCCGGACACGGTCCGGTATGGGCGCGACACTGAGGGTTGCGATCCCGTTGCCAGTCCCCGGTC